TCAAAGTGCAAGGAGGCAAAGTGCAAGGAGCGAGGGTGCAAAGTGCAAGGGACGAGGACTCAAAGTGCGGTAAGAGTGCAAAGTGCAAGCGGTGAGAGTGCAAAATGCAAGCTGCGAGGGTGCAAGTGCAAGCGGCGAGGGTGCAAAGTGCAAGGAGTGAGGAGGCAAAGTCCAAGAGGCGAAGGCACAAAGTGCAAGGGGCGAGGGCTCAAAGTGCAAGCGGTGAGGGTGCAAAGTGCAAACAAAGTGCAAGGGGCGAGAGTGGAAAGTGCAAGCAAGGGTGCAAAGTGCAAGGGATGAGGACTCAAAGTGCAAGCAAGGGTGCAAAGTGCAAGAAACGAGGATTGAAAGTGCAAGGGGTGAGGGCTCAAAGTGCAAGCGATGAGAGTGCAAAGTGCAAGCGGGGAGGGAAGGAGCGAAGGCAAAAGTGCAAGGGGCGAGGGTGCAAAGTGCAAGGAGTGAGGGTGCAAAGTCCAAGGGGCGAAGGCACAAAGTGCAAGGAGCGAGGGTGCAAAGTGCAAAAAAGGAGAGCTCAAAGTGCAAGGGGCGAGGGCTCAAAGTGCAAGCGGTGAGAGTGCAAAGTGCAAGCGGCGAGGGCAAAAGTGCAAGGGGCGAGGGTGCAAAGTGCAAAAAGTGAGAGCTCAAAGTGCAAGCGGCGAGGGTGCAAAGTGCAAAAAAGGAGAGCTCAAAGTGCAGGGCGAGGGCTCACAGTGCAAGCGGTGAGAGTGCAAAGTGCAAGCGGCGAGGGAAGGAGCGAAGGCAAAAGTGCAAGGGGCGAGGGTGCAAAGTGCAAAAAGAGAGAGCTCAAAGTTCAAGGGGCGAGGGCTCAAAGTGCAAGGGGCGAGAGCTCAAAAGGCAAGAAGTGAGGGCTCAAAAGTGCGTGCAAAGTGGAGGGCTTGCATTTGGATCACTTTTGGGCCTTGCAAAGGTTGGAACTTGCGCATTTGGTGTTTTTTTTTTGCTTGCTGTTGGGCGTCGTTTTTGCAGTCGATTCACTGTTTGGGTTCAGTTTTTGGGCATTTGCTGTGCATCTCAGTTTCGTGTCTCTGTATGTTTGGCACTTTTTTTTGCTGTTCCTTCCCACTTGGTTTCGTGTTCCAGCTCCTGTGCAAAGCCAAAGTTGGAAGATCGCAAACTTGGAAGAACCCAAAGTTGGAAGATGCGTTTTGGCCCAATCAGGGGGTGCGGGAATTTTGGGTGTGCATCTTCCAACTTTTCGGCTGCAACCATATGTTTAAGAAGGACCCCCCCCAACATAGTATTGGCATTTTCTAGGTCCCCATATGACTCAACGCAAGCTGTTCGTCAGTGAGGTTCAACGAAGGTTGAGGCCGAGAAGCAGCCTGAGATGAACCGCTCGGGCCATCGGCAGCCACGATGATGGAGTCCTCAAGATGTGAAGACGTGCAGTGTGTTTCTACAGGGTTTAGGACACACTTCGTATTCTTGATTTAATAAGGTTACAAGCCGTTCGAAGCTGACGGTTTTTCAATACGCCTCACATGGCAATCGTGGGATGAGGAACACGAAGTGAGCTCGCAAAGTCCTCGCCATGGTGGCTAAGAGTGGTAAGTATCTACTGACGTTCGGTCCGGCTAACGCCAGACAACTTTAGATTACATCGTCGACAGGCTTATGCTCTCGGGCAGGGTCGGAAGCTGCACTGTCGCCAACTCCCTGTGAACCATGCAGACGGGAGCTGCAAAGCTAAATGGTGGTTTCCGAAAATTAGGGGTACCGTGTTTTGGGGTCCTTGTAATAAGGATCCGACTATTTCAGCACTCACTCTCGGACAAGCCTTGGCGAGGATCTCGACTATTTAGGGTACCATATTAGGGTCCCCTATTTTCGGAAACTCCCACATCTCAATCCGGTCTCACGACTTGCATTCTGAGCGTCCCGAAAGTTGTCCACACTCAGGACACGAGAACGGCGGTAGCCTCGTCTGCGGCTTCGATTTATGCCCAGGAGCACACGGCCGCAAGTTCGCTTTCTTTTAAGCGCGATTGTGGTCTTATGACTGAACAGGTGCTGCGTGCGCCCGACACTTCGCAAGATCGCGTAGTTCTATCAGAACCGCTCGCATGCCGCCGAGATGCCCTCCCTGTCGTCTTTGTGCCACACCCAATCCTTGGTATTCCAGGGGATGGGAGGAGCTGCTAGGTACATCCAAGTAAGTAGGTCATAGGCGCTTACCTGGGTCGTATATTTGAGAACTAACAATGGCTTATCCGAACTCTGGTGAACCCAGACCACACCTCTGTCCAAGACAAGGGACGTCTATCTCGTAGTGCGAGGCGAGTGGTGAAAGTGGGCTTCCTGCAATTCGCAAAACAATCACCAAAGCCCCGCGGCTCCTGGCCAGAACTCCACACGCATCGAGAAAAACTGACAATGCCATTGCAATTCTTTGAGCCACCAACGCACGACAAGCAAACTCTGATATATATATATATATATATATATATATGGGCCCAAACAATTAAACCAAAACTATTTC